CCCCCCCCCCAAAAAAAATTAAATTATACATTGTACTTGTATCCATTCCTGCTGAATTTTGTTCTGGAATGTTAAATGTTCATAGTTAAATCAAAAACTTGCAACATGAATTTAAGAATTCAATAATTTTTCATTGAACTGTAGCAAATCTATCTTCACAGAAAGGTGACAGTCATGAATGACAAAAACAAACAAACAAAAAAAACCTTTTATGCTTCACAGAAAGTTAGAATGTTGTTTAAAATGGTCTTTTGGGGTAAAAGTGTTTTTTGCAGTTCTCTTAAATGTCCTTTTGTGCTTCCCACCACACCTCCTAACATTCTCCCCTATCACCACTCCAGCCTTTACTTTTGGTTCATTGATTGGATGCCATCTTACAATGAAAATAAAATCAAAGGACCCTCACAGGCTTTGTCCGTGGCTTTGTAAACAACTTCCACCCATACCCCAGTTCTTTAAATATTCACGTATTTGTTGACAGCTGCTATCTGACATGCTGTCTTTACACCAGAATAGCATGCGCTCAGGATCTGATAGAGGTGTGTTGTAGTTTTGTAACAGAGCACCATTTTAAGGAAACTCCAGGATAATACGCATAACAGTGTTGCTTACTCGGTAAGGAATTGCTGTCCAATCCTATAAGCATTTTCAGCTCAGTACAACACGCATTACTGTGAATGGCCTCCCCTACTCTAGTCCCTTGCAGAATATGAACACACCTACAAGGAGAATTTCTCTTGGGAAATCTCCTAAATTACAAAACAGGATACAGTCTTTCTAAACTACTCAAGCAGTGCTTGGTGAAATGTTTTGTTAAAGCTGTTTCTTAGCACAGCTGTTTATATTGCAGTGATTTGGACGGTACTATAATTAAGTGGCTCTAGATTAAATATAAGAAAATCTCTCTTCCTCCTGTCTTACACTTACTATCTTTCAGGTAATTCCACAAAGAACTTGGAAAGAACAGAAGATGTACACAGAATGAACAGTACATGTAGTCTCCTTACTAATTAGGGAAATACATTAAAGTATTTAAAATTTGTTTGTTTGTTGCCAGAAAAGCATGAGTTTATCAAACTATTTAAGGCTGCTAAGGTTAGAGTGGGGCTTACATAGAAAAACAGAAACATGAAATTGGGAACTGAGGGAAGGATTGTGAAGCTAAAGTGAAAAACACTGAAAAACCCTCACTAGTTGCTCTCCTTGCAGCTCACCACAGTTGTGTGTGCAATAAACAGAGGTATGAAGATAATCAACCACTTTGCTCCCAGACACTTACTCTTGTAACTTATAGAAGCAATGTGGATATTCAAGAGAGAGAACTTTCACAATGTTATTATCTGAAAAATAAAAACTAATTTTCAATAAGCTAAATTTTAGTTTCATTTTGTATCAGGAAAGTCATACCTGCAAAGTCTGTGTTGCTGTGTGCATGTGCAAATTTTAGCATTTGGCTTGCAGCTAAGTCAAAGCAGAGCTTATTACCCTGTGTTTCCACAACAGACAGTTGCATTTTGGGGGGCGGTTTATGGCCACTTTGGTTATCAGCTGTAACCTACTTCCACATTTCCAAATTCTCCTGTGATGCATTCGCTGTGAGTGTGAGTTAAAAGCTGGAATAGCATTTGTTTGCTTGATGGCTTGCCATGTGCAGTAAGGAGTTCAATGGGGAGAGAGATGTTTTGATTTTACTCTTTAACATCTTATTTACAGACTGTGTTTCTTTCAGGTTCTTCATCTCCTGCTCGTCCAGCAACTCCACTGGCTGCCTGTAGCAGCACCACCCCACCCCCTCCTCCACCTCGACCCCCATCTCGGCCAAAACTTCCTCCAGGGAAGCCTGGAGTTGGTGATGTGGTATGTTCACCTTTTACACAATCAGTAATGAGAGAGAAAACGTCACGTTTGCATTTCTAATCTGATGAGATGGATTAATAGTGCTAGTAATGCACAGAAAATAAAAGTCTGCAAATGGTTCCTGTTGGGGTTACAGTTCTTTGAAATGTTTTCATCATTAGAAATTATACATGGGACAATGTTTAAGAAATGATTCTTCCTCTGCCAGTTGCTCATTAACAATTCAGAGTGATGTGCAAGGTGAGACATTGCTAGTTTTAATTGGATGTAATCAACTGTACCTATTTCTTTATTTGAATAAACTTAAATGCTTAGATTTAGGAAAGAGGTCTGAACAGTCATAAGATGAATCTGAGATTCCTTCTTCAAGCATATTTTCCAATGTTGCCTTAAAGTTTGTGGTTTCCTCAGATGTTTTCACTCACTCAAATATTTACAGAATACAACAGGGACACCAACACAGCCAAACTGAATTTGGGGGGGGGGGGGGGGGG